TTTTCTGTTGCTAACTATGTGTGTGCACGTTGTTTTGCCAATTCTATTTTGACAAACCTGCTCCTCGAGCTGGACACTTTCTGTGAGGCGGGTCCTGGGAAGTGACAAGTGGGACAGGATGTTAGATCCTCTCACCCTGGGGCCCCGAGCTTCCCTGGACCTGCTGTGTTGGCATGGAGCTCCGCGTAAAGGCCCACGCCAGTGGTCCCCTCCCTGCGTGGCCCAGGGAAGGGTCGGGCTGCCTGGGGCGGTCGGTATCTTACATCGGGGGGCAGGCACTCCCCGGAGGCTGGTCTCCCGATCTGCTCTGGCTGAAGGCCGGCAGAGGAGCAGCGTTAGGGTGCCCGGGGATGGCCCTGACCCGCCTGGCTCTCGCCCCTGCAGCCCTGCGCCGGGAGGAGCTGGAGGCGCTCTTCCTGCCCTATGACCTGAAGAGGCTGGAGATGTACTCACGGAACATGGTCGACTATCACCTCATCATGGACATGATCCCCGCCATCTCCCGGATGTATTTCCTGAACCAGCTGGGGGACCTGGCCCTGTCCGCTGCCCAGTCGGTAGGTTACCTGCTGCCCGTGTGCTGGGTCTGGCGCAGTTTACGTGTGGGATGTCCGGTCGAATGTTTTGACGTAACTTTGTGCATTTAACTCCTCGAGGTTCTGATAGGGGGTGAGAGGTGGTCTCATCTCCCTGTGGTGCAGGCGGGGACATTGGGGCTCTGAGGTTGAGTCCTGAGCCCGGCCACGCAGTTAGCAAGGAGGAGCTGCATTCGAGCCCACATCCTTGTGCCCTGTTGCCTTCACTCGCTCTCTACTTCAGCGGAGGCTGTGAGCACCCACACTTCTCAGCGTAGCTGTTTTCAGGATAAGTCAGTTTGGGGATTTTAGGAAGAGGGAGCACTTCTCAGTAGTTCCAGTAACGAGATGAAAGAGAAGATTCCAGAATGACCGTGGCGGTTGATCACTGTGGTCAAGAGAGAGCAGCCCTGTCTCAGTGCTTGGATGGGCAGGGCCTGCCCTGCGGGCCTCTCCAGGACTTTCCACCCTCCAGGCTCTCCTCCTGGGGGTCGGCCTGCAGCACAAGTCCGTGGACCAGCTGGAAAAGGAGATCGAGCTGCCCGCCGGCCAGCTGATGGGGCTTTTCAACCGGATCATCCGCAAAGTCGTGAAGGTACCCTTGGCGGAGGGCGGGGTTGTGGTCCATTTGGAATAATGTGACAACCTGCTCCCTGCCCCAAGATGACTAGATCTTAACATTTGGCCACATACGCTGCAGATCGTCTCTCACAGGCGCATGCGCTCACACGCACACACGCACACGCATACACGCACCCTGGAGAAATGGGGCTGCAGCCCTATCTGCTGTGCTCTCTCCAGGGGGACCACTG